TTTTTCATCTCCTTCTTTAGCCCACTTAGTTTTCACCTTTTGAGCAATGTATGAAGACTCGTCACGATCAAGCTTCTCCAAAATACCAATCACGCGACATCTCTCAACAGATAAGTCGCTAGACCTACCCCCTTGATCTATAATGTTATCAATTTGAATCAAACGAGAATGAGCTTCATTTTTTCTTTATTTCTGTTAACTCTAACAGTAGCAACCCATGGCTTAAGACAATTCTTCACATTCTTTAGTTTGTTTTTAAATCTAGAGAATGGACAACCCATATTAAATTTTGGATCATTCCAAGCATTTCTGGACAATCTCCTCGAAGCCATCCCAATGGAATCAAGAGTTATAAAACTTGAAAGGAATCGGACCATAATCAAGAGAATCTTGATGAAGTAAAATAATGCTATGATCAGAGTGATTAAGCTCTAAAGCAACAGATTGGATAGAAGGAAACAAATCAACAACATTCTCCGTAATAAGGAATCTATCCAATTTTTCCAATTTCGAACCATGCACGTTAGATCTAGTAAAGGCAAATCCACCCAAAGGAACATCAACAAGGCTCAAATTTGAAATGAAATTATTAAAATCGGAAAAACTATAATGACAAACTCTTGTACCCATACGCTCCGACGAGTCTCGTACCACATTAAAATCTCCAAAACAAATACAAGCAACATCTCTACGATTGATAAAAGAGGAAATAAAATCCCACAAAGCCTTTTTAGCCGACCTATCTTGAGGTGCGTACACATTTACTAAACAACAATTTAAATTAGAAGCTACCCACATCCCTTCAACAATAAGCACATTATCTTTGCATAAAATAGACTTTTTCTTAAAGCAAGACAGATCCCAGATTGAAATAATCCCTCTTGAATGACCACGAGCAGAAGAAGAAGCAAAATCAAAATTAAAATTAAAATTACCCCATATCGACTTAATCTTGAAAACATCAACCCATGTCAAAAAATTCCCCTGAAAACCTAGAAAAGAAACCTTATGTTTCTCACATAAAGTATTCACCCAGCTCCTTTTCGCCGAACCAAATCCGCACAAATTAACGGATAATATATTCATTCAACAACATTAGGCTCACCTACGTCTTTCAAACTATTAATCCTAGCAAAAACTTCTTGAAGATCCTTCTTAGAACCCCTCATACTATAACCGAGTACCTTTCTCACAACAATAAACTTCAAGAACTCGTCTATTAACAAACCTCCATGATTAATTTTAGAACCCGCCAATTTTTTTAATAGAGTTTGATTTATTAAACCCTACTGCTGTATTTTTCGAGCTAGCTGTAACTCCATCACAGATTCAAGAATAGAGTCTGGACCTGATAGGGGAGTGAAATTGCATACCACCAAAACCATGGGGAGCCGACCTGGCTGAAGACGAATCAGCAAAATGCTTAGTAGTGTGATGATGAGTACCTTCATGATTCATGTCTAAATTCTTGGAAACAACAACAGACTCAAAACTATGTTGCAGCGCATTCTCTTTATGTAAAACTACACCCGGTTGTAAATTAGAAGCATTACGTTGATCATGATCACCCAATTCAACACTTGAGTGATCCTTTGGCACACTTTCGTCTTGTTGAAAATTATCATTATGGATGTTAACCGGACTATCAACTTCCTCTTCCAAATGAAAAATTTTATCACCATTATCACCTTTTGATTCCTTCTCATCACTACTTGCATTGATTTCTTCCCCATCTTTTTCTTCATTCTCCTTATTTACATTGGGTGTCCATGCTGAGAGCTCACGAACATGAACCACGTAATCAACACCTTCAACTTTAACAATCACTTGGTCTTTGATCAGATCAAAGCATGATGACTTAATACAAACCCTTCCAGTCCCTATACCATCCTCTTCTTCCTCATCATAGAAAAGAACCGCTCCACACAATGCAACCACCTTTTTAAAATCCTGAAAAGTCCACAATGATAAAGGAAGCCCATCAATTTCCACCCAAACCATTCTCTCCTTAATCAAGAAATTTTTTTGTCACCGGTTTTAGTTCTTTAAAAATCTGATTCATTAAGTCACTATGCTTAAACTGGTTTACAAGCTTTACGTGATCTAAACTCAATCCACACCCATGACCCGTCAATATAATTTATCTCCAAGTCTCTAAAACCTTCTTTCAAACAAATTTTGGCAATATTTCCTATTCCCCGAGCATCACGAACATTACCCGGTAAAATGCATCCAGTATATGGAATAGAAACTGGATCGATACCTCAAGATTCACCCTCTTAGTTGGCATATAAAGTTTGTTTACCACCTGCTGTTGAAAAGAATCACCAACTACCTTAGCATAACACATATTCACATCATTTGTTCTACCCCATGGAATGGAATGACAGGATCAGTACCCTTCTGTTAGGAGTGTCAAACCCAACAAATAAAGGGGTACGATATACTCCAAAATAACACTACTATATTGCACTAAAAGGTAGTACAAGGCAAGTAGGGTCGATCCACAGAGGCACGAGACAATTGGTCTATACCTCTTTGCACAAGGTACTATGGTCACCAATAGTAAAGAGAGGGGGGTTTAGAACGCAATGATTAAACAAACAATTAAAAACATAAGTAATCAACTAAATGAGTGAATTAAATTCAGAATTTTTAAGGACTCCGACTCTATGTATGACAACTTAGCAATGCGATTCCAATACAACATGATATTTTCTCAATTCTATCTAAGTTGGTACTTGAAAGTGTTAACAAGCTCTAACACTTCCCATTCACCACATTAATTAACCAAAACAAGCTCTTTGATTAACCCTAACCTTACTAACCTTACCTAAACACGCTCTTAGAATTAGATTGAAAGATTGCATTAAACTTTATGTGAATGTTCCCAACAACACCCAATACTCCTCACAAGCTCGGGAGTGTAAGAGTGTGTGAATAAGATTTACACTAAATTTATTCAATGGAAATCAGTTTAGTGCTTGTTACTTGTTCAATTTCACAAAACAATTACGGATTTTGTAAAAGAGATAACTTGAATGACCTACCCTAATTCAAATGGCCAAGAATCACATTAGAATCAAACATTCGATGAAGCAAAATCAAATTCACTAGATAGAAATTAAAATCAAACATCAAGTCATATGATTGAAATCACAACTAAGAAGTCAAGACATGAAGTTGGAGAAACTAGGGTTCTAGCCACACATGGCTAGAACAAGATCAAAAGTTAAAAAGATGGAAATAATGTGCAATTACAACTTACAAATACTAGAAATAATCTTTCCAAATGATTACTGATCAAACCCTTGCAAAAACCTTCAAAATCTCCTCTCCAAATGTGCTCTGATATGTTGTGTGTGTCCCTAAATGACCCAATTTCCGTAATATGAAGATAGGAAAAAACTGCCAAAAGTTGGTTTTTGGGTCGAACACGGCCCGTGTTGATTTGCACTAAACTGACACGGCCCATGTTCAGCATGGTCAACAGCTTCTTATCTGGTCAACACGGCCCATGCTCCTTTTACAGTGTAAATCCAACACGGCCCGTGTACCCCTCTGACTCCAATTCCAAACTTGATTTTTCCAACTTTTCCGTTCTTCGCCCGATCATCCCGAAATCTTCACCAATGCTTCCCGGCTCCTCCGAAAGCGTGTTCCAACCTCTGGTTTACCTGAAAAACACATAAAAGTGTGCAAATAAGGTTGTTCTAGAGACTAACATGAATATGATGAAATGCAAGAAAACGGAAGAACAATTATGCTAAATAGATGTATGAAAAGGGACTAAAAGGTGTGCAAAAAAGGTGCACAAATTGCACCTAACAAATCTCCCCAAGCTTAGACCTTTCTTGTCCTCAAGAAAGAACAAGAACCGGACAAACAGGAAGATTTCTATATGGCAAAAAGAAACATAGAACAAATGGGGACAAAAAGATCCTAAAAGCTAAGAATGAATGCATGCAATGAAGACCATGAAAAAGAAACATATGTACAAAAGATACTTAAGGAACAAAAATGAACCAAAGAACAAATTTAATAACACAAGTAATCTATTTATTTATTTTTATAAATATGGACATATATGATCAGACTTTACATCAATGGAGCTCCAATCATTAATACCTAGGCGACCATCCTGTTACCTTCCACATACTCCCAAAGTGAGGAAGACCACGAAACGGTGTAACCCAATAATCCAACCATAGTTTTATTTAAACTTCATACTTTAATTAGCTTTTGTGAGCGAAAATAACACAGTTCGGGATCTCATGTCCTTAAGACTAGATGGAAAGAATCAGAATCGACGCATCCTTAAGAACCCGTCACGGCGAATCAGCTTTCGCTGAAACAGTGAGCCCACCCGAAGGGGCCCAGCTCCTATGCTTTCACTTTTTCGATAGCCACAAATATCATATCACACAGTTCTTCATTCTCCAGATTTGACTTTGAGATGGCTTTTGATTTTAATTGAACTTGGATTTGTATCTTCATTTTGAGCTTTGAATTCTTCAATCAACTTTTGAATTTTTGAAAGTTTCTTCGATTAAGTGCTTGAAATTTTTGATTTGGGTACTGGATATGACAGTTGTACCCATTCTTCTTTCTTCACTGTGTGGATCTGATACTTAAGCTCTCTGTTACTGCGAGGGTAATGCGTGTCAACAAATAGGTCCGTGTTTTGTGGGTCCAGAGTTGTCGATAAAGATTATTTTTAAACATTCAGAAGCAAATCATCCTAAAGCTATTATTGCCGCCCACAAAAACGTTTCAGTATGCCATTTTTTTAATTATCTAAGGTCGGGGTCTCGAATTACGGTGTTTGGGTCCCCTAGTTATGATAGTTGATTCTACACTTCCGGTAACTATCCGGTCACTTTGGATATTTTGTTTTGTTTTGTTTTTTTTTTCGTTTTCCCACTTCATGGAGCTATGGCGTGTAAAGAGTGTCATCATCTCGTACTTTTTTTTTGAATGATGATGATGATGCATGAAAATGATGGAATGCAAAAACTTGAAATAAAAATATTTTTGGGTTTTATAAATGCATAATGCAAGGAGAATGAAAATAAGAAAGGTGTATATATATATATATATATATATATATATATATATATACACCTTTCTTATTTTCATTCTCCTTGCATTATGCATTTATAAAACCCAAAGCTTATATATATATATATCTATATATATATATATATAGATATATATATATATATATATTTGAAAATGCATGCATGAATATGAACATGAACATGAAAATGCATATGAATATGAACATGAAAGTGCACCTAATGTACAACTCTACCCCTCCCCAAGCTTAAATATAAGCATCTTCCCCGATGCTTGGAGAGGGCGGAACAACCTATTTGGGAGGAGGAGGAGGAGGAGGAGGAGGATAGTAGCTGGGATTTCCGGTCCAAGCCCAAAAGTCCTCCTCATGTTTGCGCTGACGCTCTTGATCCCGAGCGTATTGCGTGGTGAAGGCGGAAAAACTTTGGGTTAGGTTCATGACATCTTGATGGTAAGTGTCGAGGCGGGTATGGATCGATTGGAATTGATCCATATATTGTTGGTGATATGATAGGTGTCCAGCATGATGGGATGAGCTGGCACCACCCATGGGAGGAGAGTTTTGTAGTGCCGCCCCGTCACTCTCATCAGCCTCGTCACTTTCTCCACCTTCCTCATCTTCCTCCTCGAAGAAGGATACAGGGAAAAGATATGACGTGATATGCCATTCGGTGAAGTTAGTGGGCCGCCTGAGGGCAAGGATGTTCCGATTTTCGGGAGTGATGAGGAGCCTTGGGTCGTGGTTTTGGCCCACGGTCCAATTTTGGTTCCCGTCCTCCGTCTGAAACATCTTCATGCTCTCTAGTATTGCTGTGGTGAGGTAGGGGTCACCGGGCAAAGGTTGGTGAATTCCGAGAAATGGGGCCCAGACTGGAGCACTTTTAGCAAACAAACTGACAATACCGCCACAATAAATTTTCCCGGACCGTGATGTGCTGAGGCGGGTGAGCTTGTTGCAAAGGAATGAGCCATAGTGAGGAGCGAGGTTATCATCCGGGTTGGCCATCGCATAGAGTATTTTGAGCTCAAGAGCGCTAATGGTGCTTCTTTCTTCTCTAGGGACGACAAGTGAAGTAATAATCCTATGAGCCACTTTCATCATAAGGTGGATGAGAGATGAGGCTTTAGCAGAACTTGAGACATAGGGATGTTGATGCGTAAGGTCAGTCCACCAGGTATGGTCACCGTATCCTGGGAGTGGGTCATTGGGGACAAAGGTGTTTTCTGTGGGGGCCCCAACTATGGCATTGATTTGGTCTAGGGACAAGGCATGATCTTAGTTCATAAGCCGGAAATGTAGGACACCATGGTCCAAATCAAGTGAAGATAAGAACTCGGCTGTCGGGACTTTCTAACTGAGCTCGTGGACCTACAACAACCCTTGCCATCCAATGTTCCGGAACAAGGTGTGGACTTGATTGTAGATGTGAAACTCATGGAGAGATGGCACATGCATAAATTGTTGGGTAGTATGTGCGCGCTGGAGAAAGGCCTCAAGTTTGGCGGCTTGAATTGGGCCAAGACAAACCACACCACCATGTGCCGGATTGGGTGGAGATGGAGGCGGGGGTGACGGGGACCTAGACGGAGGCGATGGGGACCTACGACGGCGGGCCGACGACTTGGTGTGCCTAGGTCGTTTAGAACGCTCACCTTCCATATGCAAAATTTGGGTCAAAGTCAAAACGTCAACTGGTCAACGGGTCAAAAAGTCAATTGTTGACGGGTCTAGTCAACACGAATTTGACCACCAAAATTTCGCGGGAAACTCGGTTCTTAGTGATTTCCAAGTGATTTTCAAGTCCAATACGACCTACATGATTTGACCTTAAAATCAAGTGAAGAGAAAGTTACCATCTTAGTAAATGTGTTGTTTTTGTGTTGGATTAATGTCTAAGTCCATAACTATAATTGGTAAGACT